TGAGGGGTGGAAGGATGCTGAAGTAGATTTTGCTGGATATGAGTATTGTTGGAAAAATTTTCTGTCAGTACAGTCCATGAAAGCTATTGATGCTCTTCGGAGGGACTTCTTCTCTTTGCTTAGGGACACCGGCCTTGTTGATGGAAACACAGCCACCAGCAACCAATGGAGCCATGATGAACATCTCATCCGTGCAGTTATATGCTATGGCCTGTATCCTGGTATTTCTTCTGTTGTGGTAAGTCAGAAATTCTTGTGCAATAGACTTTTAATACTGCCTCCATTTGGACAGTTGCTTCAAAGTCAATCTATCAAAACAGAAAACAAACTTGGGCATCATTTCTATATTCTATTGCGATAACTTCTCAGTGTTCTTATAACCTTACGTCGAGGTAACAAATATTCACTTGATTTGTAAATTCAAGATAGGTGAAAAGTGGGGATAAGAATAGCGGGAGTGCCATTACTTTTGTACAACGCTCACTTGAGTGCCATAACTTTTTTTTTGCTCACTTAATGCCACATTGGAGTAAAATTGATCATTTGAGTGCCATTTCCGGCAAATCTTCCTACGTGGATGTTTTACTCAATTTTCCATTCCCACATGAATTTTTTTTTAATTTTTCCTTTTTCTTTTCCTTTGCTTTTTTTTTTTCTTTGTGCCGGCGACCCTCGCCGACCGCGAAGGCCTCTCCCAGGGCCATGACGGCCATGCTGGCCACGGGCAAGGGTGTGAAGGTCCTCGCCAGATCTAGGTGAGGCCGCCTCGCCCATAGTCGCAGCGGGGCCATAAAGGCCCTTGCCCAGATCTAGCGAGGGCCTTTACGCCGTCACCTGTGGCCGGCGAGGCCGCGATGGCCTCGCCCCCGGCGATTGCGGGTGAGATGGCCCTCACCTAGTCTAGGTGAGGCCTTTGCGGCTGGCACGGGTCTCCGGCACAGAAAAACAAGCAAAAGCAAAATAAAAAAACTAAATTTTTTTAAAAAAATCAAAAAAATTATTCACATTAGCGCCAGTGATGCCACATAGGACGATGGGCGTCCACGTTGGATTTTACGGTGAGGCAAATCGCCGATGACATTTAAGTGATTGATTTTTTAAATTTGTGGCACTCAAGTGAGTGAAAGAAAAGTTATGGCACTCAAGTGAGTGTTGTATGAAAGTTATGGCATTCCTGCTATTCTTATCCCATGAAAAGTCTGTTTCAAGATTCATACTTCTTTACACCTTAAAGCTTATGTGGAATAATCTTGGGCTGTACCGTTTCTCTCAAACTCATAGGTTTTAAACAGCTAAACTTGTATCTGTATGCAGAACAATGGAAAGTCATTTTCCCTGAAAACTATGGAAGACGGCCAGGTGCTTCTGTATTCAGTAAGTTCCTGTTTATGAAATATTTATATCTGCCTTGGAATGTTAATTTAGTACTTGCACTGTTGGGGATCTAATGTTTGTGCAATAATTTATTTGGTCAGAACTCTGTCAATACTCGGGAATCCCAAATCCCTTATCCATGGCTAGTTTTCAATGAAAAGATTAAAGTGAAATCTGTTTTCCTCCGCGATTCAACAGCTGTGTCAGATTCAATGCTTCTCCTATTTGGTGGAAGTTTCTCTAGGGGGGTTACGGTAAACACTCTCTCCATGCAGATCTGATACTGTAAACTTTTACACACTTCCGGCAAAAAAATTTAAGCAACAATGTACTTGCTTTCGCTTCCGGGTACCTCATTTCTGTGACAGACACTTTTGCGTAACTAATTGATACCAGTTGGTTTTTTAACAGGATGGGCACATAAAGATGTTAGGAGGATATCTGGAATTTTTCATGAATCCTGCAATAGCAAACATGTATGCAAGCATTAAAAGAGAGCTTGATGAACTGATTCAAATGAAGGTGAGAGAATCATTCTTGTTATCGAAGCAAATATACCCTTATGGCATAAGCTTACGGTTACCTATTTCTTTATAGTGTAAGCCTAAAGAAAATGTAGTCTTATCAGCCATTCAAGATAATTGATTTCTGCGTTTTCTGTGCTGCAGCTACATAATCCTAGGATGGATATACACTCCCATCATGAGCTCCTATCTGCCGTAAGGCTGCTGCTTGCAGAGGATAAGGGTTATGGTAAATTCATTTTTGGCCGTCAGATTTTGATGCCCTCAAACACGACCCAGACACAAGTGCAGCCAACCATGATCTCACGCGCTGAGAGTGGGCCTGGTGGTGATAATTCAAAAAGTCAGCTGCAAACACTGCTCACAAGGGCAGGATATGCTGCCCCTACCTATAAGACAAAGCAATTGAAGAACAATCAGTTTCAAGCGACAGTTGAATTTAATGGTATGCATATCATGGGTCAGCCATCCACCAATAAGAAGAGTGCTGAGAAGGATGCAGCTGCTGAAGCTCTGCAGTGGCTGATGAGTGGTACTCAATCGGGTTCTGAATACATAAACCAGATGTCGATGCTACTGAAGAAAAGCAAGAAGGACCACCGATAGCTTAACAGGTGATATATGTAGATACGTTATTCAACGAGGGAATGAAAGTATCATGCTAAAATGCTGAACTCTTGGTAAGAGTTTGTGAGAATCTGAGACTAAAGCACTGCTTCATCCTCGAGAACTTTTCTGCATGAGGATGGTGGTTAATCTGCCTTTTTCGCGCTCCACCTTCAAGTTCTTGAGCTCAATTTTCTGTGGAAGGAGAATGGATCTTAAGGTCTGGGGCAATGTGTGTGGTCAGTTGGATTTTGTAATAGCTCAGATTCTTAAGGTGGACTTGGTTGTATTGTAAGATGGTTGAGTTAAAGCTCAGATTTCTGGAATGGAGCATATGTTTTCAAATGGGGTCTTGGATCAGAAGCAATTCTATGTATCATCAGTCAAAGGATTCATAGGAGCTGAGGTGAGTCATCTTGTAGATACTACAATCTACAATTCTTGGATTTGTACAGGTCTAACAGTTCAATTGAATTGAGGATCTCTGGATTTGGAATTTGATGGCACTTTCGGCACCTCCCAACTCCTTGTATCCATGCATATGGATGTAAATTAATTGAAGTGTGTGGCCTTGAGTTAAGGGTAAATTTTGCTTCGGCCGTGCATATTCTTATGCTTTGGCACTATGTGATTATTCTCGTTGCTCTTTTGAGTTTTCTAGAATGAAAGTGGCCCGCATTCATTTGGTTCACGTCTCTCAAGATGGTCAGTTGATTTGATGGTGCTTGTTCCTCGATTTAGTTTCTTGCCTTAAAATTCTAGAGTCTCTGATAAATCGCGGACAAAGAGACAACTTTCGTGATCTGTTTTATGCATGGAAAACCTATTTAATCACGTTGACGACGCAGGCAACCTTTGGAATGATTTGAAAGTTGATGTCCGGAGGATGTCTTTGTCTTACCCGTTGTTTGCTGGCCTAAGAACCTGTACTAAATTGAGCAGTGTTAACGTTTGCGTTGTGGGATGCAACCTTATGGTAATTCTTTTGATTCCAATAAAGAGGTAAAGCGGCTGTTGAAGTTCTTTGTTTTTTTTTTTCCTTCTTTTAGCATATATATTTTTCTCAAATTAGTGATGATGTAATTAAGTGCTTCGTTTTTAAGAGTCTTCAGAAGAGACGTGCACCGTGCTGAAATTGGAATGGCCTCTGTTCGGTCTATTGGGCTGAAGGAAGAGCAAGACCATATATCTCTCGTAGGAAATGCCGGCAAAATCAAATTCCAAATGGATAAGCTGCGCTTTCCTCTTTCATGCCTTTCAGCAGAAAGTTTAAGTCGAAAAATCACAGCGCCAAAGCAGTTTCGGAATACAGATGGGAGAAGTATCTGCAATTAGCTAATTGCAGTGAAACCAAGAAGCATACTTCAGCGTAATGCTGAACTATGATACCTTTAACTATGATACCTTTCTCTGCACTGCGTCTTCCTAGCGCAGATGTGAAGAACCTTGGTAGGAATATACAATGGAATGGATTAGCGATTTCACCGTAACAAACGGTTCGTTAGAGGTGCAATACTCCGCAGAGTTCTTAAAAAGTTTCCTAGATTATTTATGTACAAAAGAAACGATCTTCAAAGATTTTATGCGGAGAAATCAAATACACAAAGCCCTAATATTAACTAGGTACATCTCCCGGCGCTGTTACCATAACTTATGCGCGTATTGATGAAATAGCGTAATGAAGAAAAGCAAATTAAGTTTATCATGAGGATTGAGGACTGACCGTTGCACGGTGCAGCTTCAAACCCACATGTCGAAGTTTAGCAGATGATCCTTGGTGAAGATAGCCCTTACCGTCTTCGGGTTCTTTGTAGGCTGTGTAATGTCAGTTTTAGCATGATTTACATTTTCTATACGCTGAGATGACTCTGAAATATTTCTTTGCCAGTACCGCCGGTTCGGAGTTGCCCATGTACAATATCATCCTTGATTACATTGGCTGAATAAGGAATTTGATTCACTTATTCTTTATATAATTTCATAGTTACATACTTAGATCAGCTGTAGTAATCATGCTGTTTACTCCATAACATCATATGTTTACTAATCACATATTCATGCTGAACTAAGAAATGATGACTTCGACTTCAAGTATGACAATCTTCATGAATCCACAATTGGGTAGTGCAAACTGTGTCTTGTTGACGCATGTACACTGGCAAACACAGGATCATCGGCTGAAGAAGAAGCCTTTTCCCAACATCCAGCACGTCACAGTCACCGGGTATGGAACTTATCCCTTCTGGGGATACGAATGAGGTACTTGTTTTGTGGCACCTTGATGCTTCCGGAGTCTGCACATCAGGCTCTTTATTCACACACAATCAATTAGCTTCTTGGAATTTTATATCTGAATCAAACACAATGGATAAATTCTTGGGATATAGAGCGAATCCATCTCAATGCCCTGAGGCAACTAGAGTGAGGCCAAAGATGGAGTCATGCTTTGAAAAGGATAGGCTTACTAAATCCCCCTACAGGATATCTACTGCCCTTTTAACGTGGCGGAAACGGCACGGAAGTAATCTTTTTCTTCCATGTGGTCCTTCCTCTAATGATCTCCTTGTTTTCAGACTCACCGTCGATCTGGAGGAGGTGTGTGTACTTGAAAGGCATCGTCGTCTTGCCGAATGATCCCAGCAGTCCACTTCCCTGAAAAATTTCAGATGCCAGGGAATATCCATTGAGCATGTTAACCTGATAACTGTCGTGCTGAACACCACTCTGGAGAATTCCATCGGCATCAGGTTCGCAAAGCGACTGAACTATGTCTGAGCCACCCAACTCTCTTCGGTACTCGAGTACTATACTAGAAAGCTGGTGAGCTTCCAAGAACTCATCCGGGATTGTCTGCAGACAAACTTGGATCGTTAGACATCTACTCAGGCAGAGAGGCCATATGGTTGCAGAAATTGAAAGGATGAGTCTAGGCTCTACAGGGAAGGCAATTACCTCTACCATCCATCCCACGTACTTAACATTGTTCACATGGTGGTTCATGTCCAAGTCACTTCTCTTTGGCTGAAAAGAAATTCACTATCGTAAGTGATAAATGCGCAGGAACTATCTTGAGAAGATATTTTTCACGGCTCGAGATGGAATTACCTTCAGATCAGAGTTCACATACGTGGCTTTACTGTCCAGCTTGACTATTTTCTCAGGATTGTCCTCTTTGATTGCTTGCTTCTCTATAAACCATGGCGAGATCTCGGCCCTTACCTCCTCTGGCATTTTCGAGAGGCGCCTTGTTTGCTCATTCATCATCACCCAAGTGCTGTTTTTCACATTTGCAGGAATCATCAGCAAGATTATAGTAGATATGCAGTTGACTAAAAAGAGTCAGATTTTCGAGTCATACCTGGTTGCCCGAGCAAAAGTCACTCCCGAAGCTTGGCTGCGGATCAGCCAGTCTCGCCTCATGCCGTTCTTCCCTGATGCTCCAACCCACGTGTCGATTTCAACTACTTCGCCCCTGTAGGATACGTTGTTAAAGCTTCATGTTCACATATCTCAACAACTTGGAAATTCAATATCAATATTGTACACCAAATGTTATTCCTACAAGCCTAAAACTTCATGCTCATCGATGTGAAAAATATCCTGCACTATGAGCTCTTCCTGGAGAGTTTTGCCAAACCAAAATTTATAAGCTACATCCCTTATCAACCTAGTGATCAAGATTATATCTATTAATTACCTGACAGGTTGCTGAAAACTAAAGCAGGTGAACAGTTAAAACAATTTCGCAGTTCCTGGGCATAGAAGCATGGAACAATTAGTTCTAATCTTCGTCCGGACGTAACGATTATATTCGTACTGTAGCAGTTTGTCTTGTATAAAGACAGTATTACAAGTTTTGTTCGGAATCCTTATTAGGTCGAACGTTTTCACATTTAGGACTCTCATGAACTTAAAGTTTTGAGTCCTTACATGAAAGGGGTTAATCGTGACATGGTAATGGAACTAACCAAATGGGGTAGTGATCAAGTTGAACATGCATTCTTGACACAACCCATATCAGATTGTTCCTCATCATTCCATGCGTTGCCCCAAATCCATTGCTCAAAAGACCCGACATCCACACGTGATTTAATGCCGTTTCCTACAATTTCACAAGTCGAACATCATGCTCAGTTTGTAAAATTTTCCACAAATTTTCTGTGCTCACACAAATTTATAACGAAAGTCATCAAAAACATGTCTCTGCAATCACCTGGAAGAGGTTTAGGATGCTCTCAATGGTGGCGGTCCTGTCAGGACCAACTTCATAAGACCGAATCACGATAGTCTGCTGGTACCCGACACCCCCTTCAGTTATGATTCCCTGGCGATGCGAGTCAACGAACTGCTTCTTTGTGGGAATGTTCTGCCTCACTTGCTGTTTGTCTATGTAGCCATTGTCCACAACTGAAGCAACGGAACCAAACGTTGTGGCAACGCCAGGTGTTTGCCTCAATGTGCTGTCAACCTTGGTCCATGTCTTGTTTGAAGTGCCATTGATCTTGATGTTGCTCAGGTTTTGCCTGCTCGGGTCATTGCCCTCTCTGCCTGAGGAGCACCAAATTGGAAAGGAAATTGTGCAAGAGAAAGCAGCCATCAAATTTTTTTTATTTTCTACCAAACTCTTCAGTGATGATTTGGATAGGAAGAGTTTGGAACAGAGAAATGGGCTCTAAATTGTTTTAATAGCCACAATGTGACGGACATAGCCATGGGACAATTACATTCGAGGGACAAAATAAGGACAGGCTTTGTTTTGATAATTGAACATATCAAAGAAGGGGTTTTGGCCCTAGTGATATATGCTGGAAAATGTTAGGTTTTTCCACATTTTGGGTTGTTCCCTTAGTAGTGATCGACGTAATCGATATTATTTTCGTTCTTTTCTTCTTCCATTTCACCGAGACTTGTATTCTTCTATAGTGATTCCATTCTTGTCATTTCGTTTCGGGGTACTACAAAGAGGCTGCATTGTTTTGTACTCTTTGGGGGCGTTAATTAATGAAATCATCACACCAATATAGGTTAACTTGAGGGCTCCGTGGAGTTTGGCGTGAGTTAATAGAATAATCCACGCGTTTGTCCTTTGATGGAGGAAGCAACAAAGAGTCAATATGTTGATTCTCTCTTGGAGGGTCAGAACAAGGAATTAGTGATCCCTTTGACCATTGCTCAGGAAGGAAACATCAAGATTCTCCTCAGTGTGTTTTGTTGCCCAGACTCTCACCCCCAACAGTCACCATACTCCGTTGGTGTCTTATAAATTGTCCAGTACATTGCTCCAGAAACTCTCTTCTTCCAAAATCAAGAATGTAATATCTCACAGATTAATTAGTTTCGAAATATGAGAATGACCCCAATTGATATGGATCATAACCAAGAGCATGTCAGATAAAGAGTTAAAGGTTTCCAAGATTTTCAGTTGAATGTTGTTTCTGACATGGCAGCACGGTCTATTTCTTTTTGTGTCACATTTAACGGATTGAATTTATCGTAATTCAGTTTGCGTTGACCTTGTACGCTCATTTCTCTTCAAACAAGCACTCTTTGAAAGTCTTTCATCTCCTCACATGCCAATACGTGTGATTTCACATCATCTCAAATGTCTTTTGAATAGACCTTGCATGAAATTAGCATTCTCCGCCAGATTAAATCGAGTTTGTACCAGTTTTTCAGTAGCCAGGATTTTGGTCCATTAAGGTTTTGTTGAATCATCATTCCAAGAGGCAGATTCAAATTTTATCGCACTGTCCTTTAGTTTCTACAGAAGACATTCCATAATCAAGCTTATGCGCTTTTAGTTTTCTGTCTGTTGGCCTGAAGTTTTAATTTACTTTTTATCAACCTGTTCTTAGTTTTGCTTTCTTTTGTTTATGGAATTCCTTTTTTTGTCCCTATTGGCTGGAAGCTAAACCAGATGTCAGTTGCTTCTGGTATGCGGGAAGCAAGTACGATGCTTCCCTTTGGAAATACATGCTCCTAGAAAAAGTCGGCACATGAGAGAGAGAGAGAGAGAGAGAGTTTCGGAAAAGCAAGATCTAATAGGACCAGTCTGAAAAAATTACTCTTAACTGAGTTTATTTGGTTGGTCTCTTCTTGGTTCTTTTCACCTTGGGATTGCGGTTTCTCTCTCAGTAGGTCCAGAAATGTGCATCTCCTGCTCAACATGATTTAGCTTCATCGAGCAGTGTCTTACCGTGTTTGATAACCATCTACTTGTTACAAAAGGAGGTATTGAATTAGTGAACTTCTGTAGATTGTGGCCATATGTGTGCACTATATGAAGCCTTATGTATTATTAGACCTATCAAAATGGGTCATAAACCCATTTTTTAATCCATATATTAATAAACGGGTCATAAATAGGTTAGTTATATTCAATAAATGAGTCATAAATTGATATAAACATAACATGGATGTTAAATGGGTCGTAAATAAGTTATAAATGGGTTTACAACTTACTTAAACCCAAATTATCTCTCTCGCCCTCAGTCAATCTCGTGGTTACTCACTCTGCACTCTCATATCAGTTTGGATGTGAGTTTTCCTAGATTGAGTTAAATATGGAATTGTTTTAGCAAATTAGTCAGGTTATGTATGGGTTGGGTATGGGTTCAGTCAGGTACGGGTCAAGTCAGGTATGGGTCATTAGATTTGCATTACATGGAAATAGGTCAAAACGAGTTAAATGGGTCTACTTGGATTGGACCATTTTCGCCCTGCCCCGCTCTGCCCCGCCCTGCCCCGACCCGACCATTTGAAAGGTCTAGGTATTAATAATTAGGTCGCGGAAAACAGATAGCAAGAGGAGCATTTGAACAGTTCACTCTAATTTTCGTTGAATTGGTCTTCATTTTCCTTTGAGGAAATCATGAATCTCATGCACTGCTGTTCATGTGAAATGTACTGAAACACATTGCCATGACAGCTAAAGAAAAGATAAAAATAACCATTCAAGTCAAAATGAATCTTATAGCTGGATGAGATACTCTTAAGAATGAGGAAAGTTTAGGAAAATGAGGCAGTACAAGTATAAAGAAGCTCAAATTTTTTTAGATTTGGTCATTCATTATAAGCATTGTTTTTGTCCCCTTCAATATGCGGTCATGCATGGCTAATGAAAAGGAAGGGACAAAACACAAATATAATCGTCCAAAGAGGGCAACATCTGATGTGTCCGGAACCATAGAAGGGACAGTTCATGGTGGAATCTACAACAAGTTGCAACTTGCCTTTTCTCTTTGTCTAGGACAAACAGCCAAATATTAATAGACAGTGACATCCTTGTTGATATCTCCTATGTTTATTACTTTGAGAATTCATGAAAGTTGGATTTCACCACCCAAGTGAACCAACCCCTCCTTGATGTCAATAATTAACGATTTGGAAACACAGCGAAGAATCCGACCTCCCACTGCGGCGCCCACAGGAGCAGAGAGAGAGAGAGAGAGAGAGAGAGAGAGAGAGAGAGAGAGAGAGAGAGATTAACAAGACCAGTATGACACCAGCGGTAAGATTGGTCTTTGCAACCTTTCACCTATGCCTCATTCTGCTTAAACGAACAGTCTACAGTTTCCTTTGCGTCTCCATGCTATAAGTACCAACAAATTACCTTGTTTCCAAGAAATATGACTTTTCATTTTTTCCTCCTTCCCTGGACGAAACGGTTCCCACAGATGGGGTGTTAAGATAAGATGACGGTCATTCATGTGTGTAGTTGCAATCTATTCATAGAACAAGTAGATCTCAACATAGTTAATACGAAAAGAAGACTGGTACTAATACAGTACTATTGGACTTTTTCTCCAACAAGCTTCCTAGACTACACAATGATTGGCACTTGAAGTTGAAGGCTTGAGAAGAAATTGAATTTGAGTAGAAGCAGCACTACGAGAGTTAGCTCTTGGAGTACCACTTAAGGTTCACATCAGCACATGGTCCTCCGAATGTCTTCCCTCAAATATCCTCGCCCTGGCTTTACTTGCCTGAAAAGCAAGAAAAGTGGAAATCTTGAACATATGAAGTATGATACATATGACCACTAGACCTACAAGCGACTTCACAGGTTATGATTATGTTACTTATCATCATCCCAAATCCCCTCCGACCGTAACTCAGGGCAAAGAAGAGTAGTTTACCTGCATTTCCCAATCTGTACGGCTAGTCACAATGGATAGGAGAATTGCTTGCACGAGAGAACCAGTTTGAATCCCGATCCAAAGGCCCATTCCTCTTAATTTTACCCAGAATCCTAGAACGGCAGCTACTGGAATCCCGCAAAGATAAAACGACCCCAGATTGACAAATGCTCCTATGTGCTGCCACCCGCATCCCCTAGCTATACCTGCTCAAATATGACCAGTCTAAGGTTGTAAACCGAAGCTAGGTAAGCGAAAAACCTGATTAGTCCAAAGAGAACAAAGATGTTCAACCTGAAAGCACTCCTTGTAAGCTCTCCAAGATGACAGACAAGCAAACCAGAGGAGCCATCTGAGTAACATAGTCCACAACTTCCTCTTCATTGCTGAATGTGTAGCCAAAAACTCTCCGGATAATGAACAAGATTGTGCTCACTATACTTGTCTCGGTAATGGTGAGAAATAAAGTGGCGTAAACAGAAAGACGGGCAGCTTCTGGGTTTCCAGCTCCTAATTCATTTGAAACTCTTGTGCTATGATGAGTTCGAAAGACCAAGTTATCAGATCTTAATATGTGGAAGAGGTGTTTAAGCTTTCAGAGTTTTAGGTATCAGTGAATTCGATCATACCTTCCCGCAGCGCCAAGTCCATATGGTATCATGTAGAGTGTTGTTATGGTATTGAGACTGATTAGGAACCAAAAAGAACTAATTTTAGCACATTTGAATTCATGACACTAAGTTGATAGGAATGTCCTTCCATTCCTGATGGCAACGTTTGTGAAATTTAAGATGGAAAAATTCACATTCTGAAGATGGTAATTGACAAAGTAGAGAATGTACCACACAGACAGAACCGAAGTTTCAAGCTGCGGATTTGGCAACAACCCAGAAAGCAAGATCAGCAGCTCAAAAGACCACCATTCAAGACTGCAATAAAATTAAGAAGGATAAGTGGAAGAAGGATTAGTCATGCCAATGCTACCATGGATAGGCCGTTTTACCAAATTCTTGCTCTAAAAATAAAACAATGATCTATTTTGCTCAAATTTGCTAACTATACAGACTAATAAATGATGTGCTTTTCTTTAAAGAGGTGGCCCAAAACTAAGAAGTCTTTTAATGATCAACTGCTCGAAGATTATGAAACTTTGAGAGAGCATTTTGCAGAAAAAAGCAGCAAACAGGATCCAGGACAAGTAACCGGCTCACCAGACCATCAATGCAGAGGGCACAGCATAGCAAAAGAACTCGCTGATCCCTCGAAACAGCTCCACGGAAACCGGCACACGGGTTTTCGCGCAGGAAGGAGAGTACTTCATGTACACCCCCAAGAAAACCACATTCAACCAATATGAAACACTGATGGCCAGTGCAGCACCGAGGTTGTCCAGCCCTGACCTGAACACAAGAACCCAGCAAAGTGGCACATGGATGCAGAGGGTGGCACAACAACTCATGAGCATCGGCATGATGAGGCTCTGCATCTGGAAGTAGCGAATGAGAGGCTGAAGAGTTGCATAGGCAAAGAGTGCAGGAACAAGCCAAGCCATGAACTTGCCGGCTTCGAGAGAAATCAGAGGGTCCTGGCCCATGAATGTGAGCAACTTTCCCATGTATATCCATAGGACAGAAATAGGGAAGCAGACCAGAATAAGGGAGAAAATCGCAGTATATGTCTGAGTCCCTAGTTTGTGATACTGTTGAGCTCCATATGCTTGTCCACATAGTGTCTCCAGAGCACTGGCCATTCCTAGCTATTACGACATGAGAGCCAGACAATTAGCATTGGCCATAGTTAAATACCGAGGTCATTAGCTGAAAATCAAAAGGTAAAAAGCAATTGCAACAGGAGAATGGGTGAAAAAGGAGAAGATTCAACAAATGATGAAGCCGAAAACCGACCGAGACTTGCCCAATTGCCACTTAGTATTGAAATTTGTTGTCTTGCTATGCAAGTTTCAAACCGGGCGAAATGAAAATGAGCCTTCAAAGCAGGAAAAAGTCATCCTTCTATTCTTAAGTATACCTCTAATCAAGATTAAATTCGTTGGTGCCATAAGATGTTACCAACTCTCGTGCACGCGCTAGAACAATGACTAATTA